ATTTTCAAAATGACTACTTTTCTGTGGGCTTGTTAATGTATCTCTATCCTTTATGATAGAAATGATTTTGTTTGTATCTACTCATATTTCTTACTTGGTTTCTGGTGCAGCAATCCCTCCCCAAGCAACACCAATCTCCGACTCTGGAGTTTGGCGCCATCAAGGGCCCCTGTTTCCGCTCTAAACAGCTGCACACTGATAAGGCCTGCTTGCTCTATGTGTTAGGAATGGAGTTACTGACTAAAAGCTGCTGTACACTTTCCAAATCCATTTTTACTTCAGTTCTTAAGAGCGATACTTCAAGGTCTTCAGGGATCTAGGATAGTAATTGGAAAGTAGCTTATGTATGAGTAATAAGCCATAGTTTTTCCCTTCTTGAGTGAATGCTTAAGCTTATGAACTGCACAATTTCCAAAATAACTAGTTTCAGGTGTTAAATTATAGATTAAAACCCTGAACCATTTTTCCCTTTCTTTTCTATAATTCTACCCATTAGTGAGAGATGGGTAGCTCCAGGAGCCTGGGAATGGGGTTTGTAGCCTTCTACACACCTGTGTGCAGATGTGTCTAGAAGAAAGAGCCTCCTTTGGGAGATGCGAGGGGAATCAAGGGTACAGAAATCTGATTTTCTTAAAGATCAATAGAGTGGGGCCAGGGAGAAGGCTCAGTAGAATAAGTACTTGCTTGGCAGGTACAAGGGCCTGAGTTCTGTCAGAGAGAGAGAGAGAGAGAGAGAGAGAGAGAGAGATTAAAAAATCAAGAGTGAAGAACTGTCTTTCTCCAGACCTAAAACGCAAAAAGATTCCAGTTTCTAACAGCTTATATAGCATATGAATCAGGACAGTGATGGACAGGGAAGGGTGACATACAGCTGATGTAAGAGGCACACCTGCCTCAGAGTGCCACGTTCAGAGCCTTCCTGGTAATTAATCTGGAAGTTGCCTCAATCAACTTGTTCTTTTGTGTTATTAAAATAAATCAAGGTTGCTTGGGACCTACTGATGGAACCCTAGGAGGGAATTTAGTTGCCAGGACT